ATAATTATTCTCTTGTTGTCTTGTCCATATTAACTATTCTGGTATATAAGTCCCAAGAAAACATAACTGTGTCTCTTCAGCTTATGTAATGTACCTGACACAAAATTGAGCATATATGATTGCTTAACAGCATAACATTGCTTGGTGATAAGGTGCAAAAAGTCTTAGCTGAGGATCTAACAGTCTTCTTTTTATTTTTGTCTTTTTCGCGACCGGTAAGGGAATCGCAACCCTTGGCTTGGTGTCACCCACACTGCGCTCAGCCAGTGAGCGCACCGGCCATTTCCTATATAGGATCCGAACCCATGGCGGGAGCCTCGCTGCGCTCCCAGCGCCGCACTCTCCCAAGTGCGCCACGGGCTCGGCCCTCTAAGCCACGGGCTCGGCCCTCTAACAGTCTTCTAAAGTTATTTAACATGATGCCATCAGGTGCCATCTAGGAGAAATAAGTAACAGAAAAACAAAAGCACATTGTTAAGATGTGTAAATTATTCCTCAGTGAAGGAGGTTTGTGTATATAATTGAGTTTAGTTGTTTTTGTTTATAGAGCTCCTGTAATTTCCTTGTGCCAGATTCTGAGTCAAAAGAAAAACACCAAAGTGCTTAGGCAACAGCTGTTCTCAGTCCTTCAGGGTGATAATTCTGAGCCCAGGGATGTGCTCATTCTTGTCGTGAAATGATGCTTTTTGGCTCTAAAACCCTGTGCCCTTCCACAGTGCTATTATAGTGAATGTGCTTACAAACACCAGATATCTGTTTAACAGATATCCCGAAGGAGAAAATAACTGATTATGACCTCATGTGTGGTTCATGGACTCTTCTCTAAAGTATTTTTATGATCTGACTATTGTATTCCTGAGCACATTTCTAAACCTCACCATATAGTTCCTTCTTTGTAAAAGGAAGAGTAACACTGTAGGTAGTGTTTGTATTTTTAGAGAGTTTTAGTGATGTTGGTCAGTGAGTTAATCCTAAAATCATATTAAATCAACCAAAAGTCATATTGCTATATATTTTAAAACTTTGTACTCATCCCAGCCATTCTTCTCAATTTTCTACCACTTGGAAGAAGTGGGCTAATATTATGTAAAAAAAACTTATACCCAGTGATAAAAGTTATAAAACAATAATGATGAGGACTCACTTTACCTTATTTGAAAACATATTTAAAATGGACATTTATAAAAACTGTATGGTATTTTGTTAAAGAAAAAGTCATACATTGAAATGGAATAACATAGAGTCCAGAAGTTAAAAAGCTATTTAAATTGGGTTTAAGACAGGGCAGAAATAATGGAATGATAGAAAAAAGTAGTACTTGTCAGGTATCTATTTTGGTATAGAGAAGAATCTGTACTGTATATACAAGTGCAGAGTGTATAGCAGTGGAAAGAGAAACAGAACATGAGAAAAATAACACACACCTATGTAGTGAAATTACTTAAAATGGATACATATATATTAGATGAATATATTGATTCCATTTCATACATGTGCAAAGAAGATGAATACAGTGAGGAAATCTTAAATCATTTCATAGAAAAATATGCTGCCTCTTAGGATTAAAATAAAGTGTTAAAACTTTCTTACTGATAAAGGTAATAAAATCAGATTTTTTCCACCCCTGTGGAGAAACAGGTCGGTTGTTGCTGGCATGGTAAATTGTTTCAGTATTTCTGGAGTGTAATCCATTAATACGTTTGAATCATGATGATGATAATGGTGGTGATGATAATGGCATGTGCTGGGTGAGTGGGGGGAATGGACACTTAGAGGAAAGCTCACAGTCTTGGCCACATGTACATATTTACGGTCATACATGTCACTGAGCACATCATACAATGCTTTCCAGTCTCCAGCCCACCTTTTCATTGTTTGGCATTTCCTCTGAAAGCCATTTTTCCTACAGGCCATGTTCATTTTTTAAAAAATTAAAGGTTTTTTCCCTCCCACATTGATTTTTTTTTTTTTTTTTTTTTTTACTGGTAAGGGGATCATAACCCTTGGCTTGGTGCTGTCTGCACTGCGCTCAGCCAGTGAGCGCACCGGCCATCCCTATATAGGATCCGAACCCACGGCCTCTACACTACCAGTGCTGCAGTCTCCTGAGTGAGCCACAGGGCTGGCCCCCACATTGATTTTTGACTCTATTTTTGTAATATTTTCCTCCATGTCCTAAATGTCTTTTCTTCACCTGACAGGTGGATTCTTATTCATCTTTTGAACTTTTGTTCAGATAGGCCCTTGTCTGTGAAGCCTTTCTGTGCCCCTCTGTCCCTGGGTGTGGCTCAGCCTTGGTCCCTGTGGCCCATTAGACAAGCTGAGGCTGGCAGCTCTGCCTGCATCTCTGGAGACTGCCGCTTCTTTGGAGGCAGGGGCTGTGTCTCAGCCATCTTTATACACAAGGTGGGACTTGATACATATGTGTGGAATGACTGAATGAAGAAGCAAAAGGAAAACCCAATATTATTGCTAGCTCTTTCATTAAATTCTGTGAAACTGAAGGTTGTCCTGTTGAGTCGGTATAAACTTTTTTGAACAATCATCAAATTGTATAACACCCAACAATTCTGTAAAATGGGGGTTACCACCAGACTATCTTATTTTGCAACAGGGTGTCCTCGGTGGTTTACTTGTCTCATTGCTTATTTCCTGTAAAATGAGCCTTTTACTGGGTGGCTGTCAGGTTCTTCTTAAAATGCTGAAGGAGGTATATTTATCAGCTCTTTTAGGCCAGGGAGTCATTAATGAACTCTTCTCTACTATATAATATTCTTAAGAGAAAATGTGCTTGGGGACCTATCTTATGCTCAGGAAGTAAGTTTTACATACTTAAAAAAAAAAAAAAAGATTTGGGGATCCAGAGCTGAAAAATCTCCCCTTGTACAAATTGTTCACCAGTATAAATATCTTCATGTAAAAATTAATGCTTCAAGATGCAGAATGAATTTACATTAAACATTATGTTATATTTGCACTGGATATATAGTGTTTCTGCTGTAGGTGACACATACCACACTTGATAAGACAGAAGTTTCTCATGTGGTTGTCTGGATGCAGGAAGGCCAGGAAAAGTATGGTGACCCTGTTCTGCATGGTGGTTTGGCATTTGGCTTGGCATCCTGTGTTTTTAGGGACTTGGGAGACTTCTCTTTCTCATTCTTTTACATTTAAACTTTAATATTAGTTAATTTCCTTTAAAATTTTTACTTATTGGTTGTTATTGAATGACTATCTGATTGGCATCTGTGCTTCACTGGAAGTAGAAGTTATGGTTTATTTACAGTGTTTTATGGGTTTGGCATGGCAAAATGGTCTTGACAATAAATTTTTGATGAATTACTTGAAAGTTTGGATATTTTGGGGGATGGATCATTAATCTACACCTGTTTGCAAGACCCCTGTGATAGGTGTGGTGGAATTCACTGTCCGGGGAGGTGTGGGAGGGGGGCACGCAGCACACCAGACAGAGGGAGGAACAGTAAGGTGCTCCAAAGCCTGAGGACAAAGTTCATCCCAGAGTGCTTGTGAAGGAGGCCTTCATGCAAAGAAGTGCTGTCGGGGTGCTTTGGAAGGATGGGGAGGGTTTTGGTGATCAGAAATGGAGGGGGAGGACCAAGAGGAGCGTGGGGTGGCACTGGGGGGAAGGTGGGGATGGAAAGTACCAGGAGGGGATGCCTGGCGTGTTCATGCCGGGGTCCAGTTACCATGCACGGAGCACCTCACAGATGACCCGTGACGCCCGCTGTGCCTGAGGAATGAAATCTGGAGGAAGGATGTTTGTGAGTCAGGGGAGGGGGGTGTAGGTGTCGCATTTAGTCTTGTTTTTTGTTTTTTTTTAATAGGGTTACAGAGGAGAGTTTTATCTTGGATAATGCTTTGAAAAGACTTATTGATTTGTTAATTTACGTCATTAAAGATGCTTCTGTGAGCTATAATATTTCACACCTAGTAAATATGTTTCGTGCTTAGATGGAATTATCTTTGTATTTTGGATTAAGGCATAATAATGACAGTATTTGTAAATATGTGACTTTTAAAGGAGGACTTTAACCTTCAGTATTCACAAAGGGCCAGGTTCTAAGTCCTTTCCGAAGTTAGAAGGTTGTGCTATCCCATTTTGCTGTTCCATTCTGCTGATGCATCGTTTAGAGTAAATTCCAGAGAAAGTTCCAATTCCTGCTGAAGAGCAGAATGCTGGTGTGATTTTTCACTTAGGTGTGCAGAAAGAATTGGTTAGCTTTGTGCACAGAATAGGCTCAAAATCAAGCTTTAATTAGTCAGACTTTTGCATAATTCATCACAACACTTTGGNAAGATGCTTCTGTGAGCTATAATATTTCACACCTAGTAAATATGTTTCGTGCTTAGATGGAATTATCTTTGTATTTTGGATTAAGGCATAATAATGACAGTATTTGTAAATATGTGACTTTTAAAGGAGGACTTTAACCTTCAGTATTCACAAAGGGCCAGGTTCTAAGTCCTTTCCGAAGTTAGAAGGTTGTGCTATCCCATTTTGCTGTTCCATTCTGCTGATGCATCGTTTAGAGTAAATTCCAGAGAAAGTTCCAATTCCTGCTGAAGAGCAGAATGCTGGTGTGATTTTTCACTTAGGTGTGCAGAAAGAATTGGTTAGCTTTGTGCACAGAATAGGCTCAAAATCAAGCTTTAATTAGTCAGACTTTTGCATAATTCATCACAACACTTTGGAAGTCCAGCAGAATATGCTCTTGATTGCTAACTCAATGGGTTCATATTAAAGGACTGGTTGTCTTTTATTAATTCTTTGCTGCTCAGATATTTAGATCTGCCCCTCAAAGCCATGACAGTTGACCATGTCTCCTAAAGAAATGAATTGTTACCTAATGATACATAAAGAAATGAATTGATACATAAAAATTGTTCCTTGATATAAATATAAATATCATTCTTGATATGAATATAATCAGTCTTACAGGAAAGTAATTAAGGTTCTTTCTCTTTTTTTGAATCTATAGGCCGTCCATCTGGCCCAGGCAAGCTTCCAGATTGAAGCCTTTGGCTCCAAATTCATTCTTGACCTCATACTGAACAAGTAAGTATTTAGTCATTATCTTGTTAAGAAGCAGGTACAATAAAGCTTCATTTCTGTGATATTTGTTTAGTCAAAATAATGTCTGTTGTTGAAGCAACTGATATTTTCTAGCTGATTATATGTTATAGAGCACTCAAAGAAAAACGTAAAAGTCGGAACAGCAAATTCTGCACTTTTTTTCTTTTGCTGAAAGAAAAGACATTTAACATTTAACATGTTAAACATCTCAAATACAACACTTACATATTATGATTTTAAATGGAATAAATATTTGAAGTAATGCTAGCTAATTATATGCTAACTGTAATCATCACTATATATAAGAAGCATGATACATTACTAATTCAAGTGTAATTAGACTTCAGTTTAGAAATTTCTTCCATTTTACCTTTTATAATGCAATTCATATGACTTCTGTAGGAAGAACAAAGCAAGTGATGACTTGCAAATAGAACCTATTTTGAGAAAGTTCTTTGCTTCATCATTTTCTCTAATATGGTTTCTTAGAAATTTTGGTTCTGATAAAAATTTACCCAATTGTCTCTGAGCGTGTGTTTAGGTTGATATTTAAATGCTGTTTCCTAAGTTGGAACCAGTTGTACAGATGTCTTTGTACAAAGTGTGAAAAAGAGCTATTGACTTAACCAGGGCTCTTTAGCCTCAAATAGAGCTAGCACTGAACCTTTCTTTGGTGAAAAAGATTTCCTATGTGGTTTTCTTTAGTTACAGAAACTCCACTCAGTATTTTAAGCTCTCACCGGTATTTTGACCAGGACTGCATCTTTGCAAGAAAAATACCATGTAATGCTATTAGACGCTATAGGTGACTGCAGCCACTTTCTGAAAAATTGCAAAAGACTATAGAGAACAACTGTTAAATTTTTTGTATGCCAGCTTCAGTGAACTCTGCAGAAAGAAAATGCAGAGTCAGCTTGGATGCTCCTTACTCAAGTGTTATTGCAGCTTTAAGTCAGAATGAATCAGCAGAACTCAGAATTTCCTGTGTTAAAGGTATTGCAGGTTTTCCTCTTTGGTTGAGTTCCGTTTCACCATGCTGTGTCAGCAGTGAGCCTGCCTAAGTGATTTGTCTTGCCAAATCTTAGGCTATGTTGAGTAGCAAGATATAGCTAATTTTAGCTTGTTTAAGTCCTCTATTCCTTTAACTCCTACTGTAGTAAAGACCGTCATTTCAGACAGTAGTGTGATGATAGCAGCCACCACTGCTGTGTGTTTTGAACATTAAAATATCACAACCATAGTAGAGTAGCAAGATATAGCTAATTTTAGCTTGTTTAAGTCCTCTATTCCTTTAACTCCTACTGTAGTAGAGACCGTCATTTCAGACTGTAGTGTGATGATAGCAGCCAACACTGCTGTGTGTTTTGAACATTAAAATATCACAACCATAGTAGAGCGTTCCAGTCAAATAGCAGATAGGCATCATATGGTCATCTGGAAAGGGAAAGGGTCATATGGGAAGTCCAGGGTCCTTAGAGGTCTGGAAACATAGCGGGATTTATTTATCACTAACACTTAACATGTGGAGGAATCAAGTTGAGCACCTATTATGAGCAGTCCCTGCCTTGAGGAATTGAGAGTTTCATTTGGGGAAGATTGATAGATAAATGTGTAATTCTAGAAGAGTGTGACATGTGTTTTGCTAGAGGCTAACATGGAATTAGGAGAGGCAAGAGGAGTGTGAAAAGGCATCTTAGGAAAGATGATGCTTGAGCTAAATCTTGGAGGTCAAGTGCTGGTCAGGAAGGGAAGTGTTGGGGATGAGAGGGAGAGGGGAATGGAGAAATGTCTTCTAGACATGTGAGCTAATGTGTGCTAAAGAGGCAGGACATGTGGCCTGTTAAGGCAGCATGAGCCTTTTGTTGAACTTCCTGGTAAATTACAGGCTTGAGGAAGACAGTCGGGAGAGGTAGGCCTAGGGACAGCTCAACACATGGAAGGTCTGGTATTTCATGCTCGGGTGCCTGGCCGTTATCCCTGAGACTAATAGAAATCCTGTTATAAGGAAGTGCGAAGAGGCACGGAGAGGGAATGCTTTTAAGATCTTTGGTTGATAAAATCATTAGGATTGCATCCATGTGGATGGCAAGGCAGAGAGAAGAATTAAAGCCACCAGAGGGGCCTTGATAGGATAGATGGGTGGAGAGTGGTATACAGTCAAAATAGGCAGCAGCAGGAGCAAACAGATGGTGAAGGGAAGAGAGTGTGACATCAGAATAGACATAATAGGTTTGAGGGACTTTGGGACATACATGAGGCTGTGTCTAAGGAGGTAGCTGGATATAACCCAGGGAGAGGTGGGAGCTAGAGATAGTAGACTTGGGAGTCATTTCCATATAAATGTTAGTGATAAGCGTGCCTGTGAATGAGGTTACCTGGAGAGGGTAAGTAGAAGGAGAGCATAAGCTGGGAAGACAGTTAAGAGGAAGAGAAACCCATGAAGAGGTAGAGAATGAGTGATCAGAGAAGTAGAGTAGAAGCAGAAGAAAGATTAAATAGAGTTTCAAAATAGAAAGGTGTGATTTCTAGCATCACATGCAGCAAAATGATCTAGTGAGGTAAGGAGCAAACACTGCCCTTTGGATTTGACAGTGGCATAGTGCCTGGTGGTCTGAAGGCAGCAGTGTTGGTGAAGCCCTGGGGGCAGAAACCTGCTTACAGCAGCTGGCAGGGAGTGAGAGGAGCTGATGTGGAGATGGCAAGTACCATGGAGGAGGTTTGGGTGAGAAGAAAGGAGAGCTAGAAAACGACACTGGGGTCGAGGCAAGGCTTTTTAGTGACAAGGAATGAGTTGAGAGACAAATGCAACTGGTAAGAGTGAGAGGTTGAAAATACAGATGGGAGAGGAGATAATCACAAGGTCTGGGTGGAGAAGGAGGACAGTGAGATCCAAGCTCAAGGGCAGAATTTAGTTTTGAACCAGGAACGACAGTTCATCTCGTACTGGTATGAAAGTAGGGTGTGTGAAGTGGGAGATTGGTTTACAGGCGAGGGAGTAGAGTTGAGGAAATGTGTCTGTGAAGATCTTGGAGCAGCATTATCTGCTGTAAGGATTGGGATGGAGAGGGAGAGTGGGTTGGGCTTGATGAGGAAAATGATGACATTTAGACTAATTGCTAGGAGGAATGGTGTGAGGAAGCTCACCAAGGTCAAGTTAAGGAACTTACAAGCAACCTTCAGTAGAAATTATGTAATATGTATTAGTCTTCAGATATTCCTTCCTGTGGTATTGGTGTTTTTAAAAAAATACTTTATTTTTACTATTAAAAAAAAAAATCTGAGTGCTCTATCACTGCAGTGTGTGAGTGAAGGGGGTAGACTGTAGAGTGGATCCAGGGTTCAGTATGGGTGGTAGTCCAGAGAAAAACAGGAGAGCCAGAGCTCTTTGATTCCTGGTGAATAACTTGGGTGGTTAAGTATCAGGAACCAGTCTGGGTAAGAAAGGAGCTGAGGTCAGGAGGAAGCTTCTGCACTGGAAGAAAATGGAAGTCTCTGAAGGGAAAAGTCAACGCCATAAGATCCTGTGCTATCTCCCCCGTGCAGAGTCCTGAGCCTTCTGAGTGCAGCAAGAATGTGCAATACTGGGATGACGTGAGGACAGGGAATTGTGCTGGGGCAGGAGGTGTGTTGCTGGGATGGGTCCCCAGTTCAAATGACTTTTCATGGCTGGGAGTAACTGGGATTAAGAAGTCTGGTCCATGTTAGAATAAACCTGAAGAGTTGAGACAATGTTTGATGTGGAATATACTATAAAGCATATGTACTTTACAGGGCCTGGTTTTCCAAAGCCTTGCACTTTCAAATATCGACCTTGCAAGGACTGGAAATTTCCCTCAGGCTATAAGTCTCTGTTGCAAGATAAGAATTGTGGCACAGCACGTTGCTGGCTCAAAGACAGACCAGTTACTGATTGTTATATAAAGATACTGAGAAAGTGCTGTTAAGAAGGAATGTTTGCTAAGATCAAGCTTTTGTTGATAAGACCACTTAATTGCCTTACTGGAATGTCATCTGGCTTGTTTCACTGAAAGTTACCAGCCTATATTGTTAAACTATAACCCCATCTTTGTTCTCTTCCTGTAACTTCCTGGTCTAAAAAATAAATGCAGGAAGAGAACCCCAATTCGGTGTTAAATTCCCAAGGAAGGAATGCCTCTCTCTTGAGGGTTCCAGGAGATTAACCACTTCGGGGCCTCTCAGTGCTCAGTAAAGATGGGCTTTGAGTAATCCTTTGTGTCTCTGTCACCCAGAGGAAGTGGGGTGACAAATCCGTGGGGGGTGAAGCAACGCAAAGCAACAGTTTAAGTCTGTCTTGGAGGAACCAAAAGAGCTTCTGAGGAAAGAGGGACTTCATTCCACCATGGGGTGATCATTGCCACATTATATGCAACTATTTTAAATCATCAGAGGAGGGAAAAGTCAAAAGATGTATGGTAAATATGTGGGCTCAGCAGGTTAAGGAATGAGAGCATAAAACTGTTACAGGACAGCAGTGGCCACAGAATCTAGATGGTTAGAGCCTGTGATAGAAGAGGTAGAATGAGATTAAAATGTATATGAATAACATTAAAACATGATGGAAAGTGCTTATGAGACCTTGGTGATGAGGAAAGTTTTTCTGGGGAAGGTGGGATGCTGCCCTGGTTTGGGATCCCCTGGGAGCAGACCCTGCAGCAAGGATGCTGGGTATAACTGAGGCAGTGGGGACGTGAGGGGGAGAGAGAAAGGAGCTAGTAAAGGGTGAGTTCTCAAGCTGCTTACTACTGCGGGCAATGGGGGCTCATTCCCACAGGGAACCCTGGCAGCCTGTGGATTCTCTAGATCATGCCGAGTTACCCAGCAGAGAGGCAAGGGAGCTGGAGTTTTGTCCACCAATGCCAGTGTGTTACTGGCCGAGGGCTGCTTCTGGGACAATAAATAACTCTTCACTCCTTACTCCCGGGTAGAAGAAAAGCCCTCAGGCCAGGAGTCTCAGGTAGAGA